GTCTTTGGCTTTTAAGAGTCAGACCTCACTGGCTTCTCTGGGTCCCAGCTGCTTTCACTCTGCTGAGTCCTACTCTTTCCCGTGGGGGTCACTCCCTTTCCAGGCATGTCCTCCAGCTCCATCTGACAGGTCAGCCAAACGAGAACCAAGAGAATCATCAAAGATTTCAATATCTAGTGTGTCCAGCAGAGATCTAAACTGCACAAAAAAATAAAGAAGTAGAGAGGCACACAGCTCCCCTGACAACATTGTGTCCCAAAGCAATGTCTTCTGTGCCCCTCATTAAGGAGCTCACTGTCTCTCACCACAGAGGCAACTGCTTCCGGGGTCTCTCAATTCCTCAACGGGAGGCAACACACATTTTAACCCAGTACCTCAGCAAAGGAAGTGGTGATAATTTACCTACTTGTGATAAAGTTCCTGAAAAGATCCCTAGACTGCAAAATTCCCCTCCAAAATACGACAGAAAAAGCTTTCCAATTGCAAAACATTGGCCTCCTTGCTGTTAAAAAGTACCCCTGAAAGAGCCAAAACAGTTTTGCCAAACTAAATTGCAGAACTTGAACTTTCTTATTTGAAATCTCACAAAACATTACAAGTACTAAAAACAGAAACTGCTGGCATAAGAATACAACTAGGGACCAAAGGGATAGAAATGAGAGTCCAGAAATCTACCCTCACCCTTATAGTTCATTTCTCTTGAATAAGGGTGTCAAGATAATTTAATGGAGGAACAATCATCCTGTCAAATAATGGTGCAGAAACAACTAGATAACCACATGCAAAACAATAAACTTAGAGAACTATGCTTTCAACCATATCAAACAATTATCTAAAAATGGATGAGTGAGTTAATTATAAGATCTCTCACCACAAAAACATCTTAGAAAAAGACATAGGGGTAAAACTTAATGACCTCAAATGTGCCATGGATTTTCAGGTATGACCCAAATGCATGAGAAAGAAAAAGGAAAAATAGATAAATTGGGCTAAAGATGCAAGCCTTTTGTGCATCAAAGGATATTATCAAGAAAATAAAAAGACCAAACACAGAATGAGACATAACACTTGCAAATCACATAGACAATGGTTTCATGCCCAGAATATATAAAGAACTGCTACAACTCAATAACAAAGAGAAAAACCTCCCAATTTATATAAATGGGCAAAAGATGCAAATAGACATTTCTTCAAAGAAGATATGCAAATCATCAAGAGGGACGTGAAAAGAAACTCAACATCATTAGTCATTAGGAAAATACAAAGTCAAAGCCACAATGGGATCCCACACTAAACGTACAAATATGGCTACCATTCTTTTCAAATGTTAAATAACAAGTGAAAGCCTTATGTAGAATTTGGAATCCTCATACATTGCTGGTGAGATTATAAAACTGTGCAGCCACTAGGAGAAATAGTTGTGCTGTTCCTCAAGAAGCTAATCATGGAATTCCTATGTGAAACAGCATCCATTCCTAGGTATATACCCAAAGAATTGAATCCAGGGACTTAAACAGGTACTCGCATGGGAATGTTGATTGTAGCATTAGTCACAAAAGATAAAATATGAAAACAATTCCAAATGTTCATCAGCACATGAATAAACAAATGTGGTCACACATACAACAGAATGTTAATCTGCCATAAAGAGGAATGAAGCTCTGATATCCGCTGGAAGATGCATGGACTTTGGAAACATTATGCTAAGTGAAATATGTCAGAAACTAAAGAACATATATATAATATTCCATTTATATGAAACATCAAGAATAGGCAAATTCACAGAGACAGAGTAGAGATGATCAAGATCTAGGGTGGACAATAAAGGGAGTTATTATAGTTTCAAAGATACAAAGTTTCAGTTTAAAATGATAAAAATTTTCTAGGAAAAATAGTGGTGATGGTAACTTAACACTGTGTATGTGGTTAACTCCATTTGACTGCACATTTTTAAGTGATTAAAATAGCACATTATTCACAGAACTGTGCAAAATCGATTTCTATTATTTAATTCACCCAGGCTAAGGTGTTTGTTATGGCAGCTGAAGCCCATGAATACATCATCTGACCCAGTGTTTTCCATGAAACGTATCAGTTTTTCAATCAAGTTAGCTGGAAGCTCCTGTCCCCAGAAGAACTGCAGGTCCCAAAACAAGAGCTCCAGCAGGGGTTCAACCAGCACAGGTCCCACAGGGCAGCCTCCATGTCAGGCCCTGGATGGTATGTGAGGCTATAATGATACAACCACAACGTGAAAGTATAAGTATTTTTACTGCTTACAAACACTGGGGAGCACTCGGCACACGTGGAGACCACAGATACAGAGGTCAGCGAGCCCAGGCAGGGAGGACAGAAGAGCCCGTTAAGCCGATGTCTTTAGTAAGTCCAGGTGTTATCTGACAGGTTTCCAGCAGGGAGCTTTAATGGATGTGTTGAAAGCAAGTAGCAAACACTGGGACCAGGAGATCACGCTGTGATTGAGAAGTGGTCACTTTAAATGTAAGGGCAAATGTCAGAATATCAGTTTAAAGAAAGTAGATGGAGAGAGAGGAGCCCAGCACACCAAGCAGGAGAGATGCCTCTTAGATTTTATCGCTGGCCACCAACTGCAGTCACTTGAACCAGATATAGTATTGAAAACTGCCATGGTGAACAAGGCCTGCCTCTGATATGAGGCAAATAAATTTACACCTTAAAAAATGAATGCCAAGGTAGCATGACACTATGAGCACTCCTGACATCCAGGGACACCAGCGGGTGTGGTACTGTGCCCTGGAGTCAGAATCCTGGGTTCTGGTTCCTGGGAGTGAGAAAATGAAAAGGACTTGTCCCTACTCCCCTGGCATTGATCCTCCCGCCCTGCTGCTCCGTCTTCTGTTCCCAAGCCCATGTGCAGTGCTCAGCCCCAGACATCACTGCCCCCAGGGTATACACAGTGCCACCTACTGCACACAAACGCAAACTCACAGAAGGTGACAAAAATCTGCGTTCGGGACATCCGATCGTGAAAGAGGGAGAACAGTGAACGTAGAGCCACAGAGACTGGGACTCACAGGCTGGAAGGTGATGGAACTGTAACATAGCATATGCGTGACCTCATTTGAAACGTGCAGATCCTTGTGGAATAAAATACGCAGCCTGGCCTGGGACTTCGGCCCCCCACACTTCTCTTCCAGTCCACCAGAGGGCGGCAGAGTCCCTCCAGCCTGAGGCCTTCCCAGGGGATGCCGACCTCCCTCAGCAGAACCTGTAGCCAAGCAGGGTCCACCCTCACCAGGGTCACCTTGGCCCAAGTCCTCAACGTCCTCCATGCTCCCCACACGGACTCTGTCAGCTCCTTCCTGACCTGGCGGCCGCCAACGTAACACCACTCCCTCTGCAGGAAGCTCCTGTCCCACACACCTGCTCCTTCCGTGGGCTCAGTTAAAAAGACATCTCCCATGGCAGCGCTGGTGCACGTGACGCCACACTGCGCCCTTTCCCCTCGTGACCTCCCTCCATCTTCAACTCTTTCTGTCACTGCTCCCTAAATGCCCGCCTCTGCTCCATCTGTCCTGTTCTGTGGGGCATCCTAGGCCAAGCCTAGTGCTGACACAGAACAGCGGCTGCCTGAGGGCCCACAGCCTCCCCGGGAATCGGTCAGGCACCCTGTGACCTGTCTGCCCGCGGCACCCCGAGGGGCTCAGAGCGCGTGTGATGCTCACACACAGGCAACACATAGGATGTGGCCACCTACCTACCCCCGGCTGTCCCTTGGGAAACAGTCCTCTCCTGTGTCCCTGCCGGGAGAAGGGGGTATTATTGCTCTTTGCTCTGAGAACACATCTCACCCCCACCCGGCCTTCTCAGGTGTGAGCGACGTCCCTCCAGAGAGGCTCTCTGGTGACTGCCTGTTCCTCCTCTACAGACAGCATCTTGGCCAGGTGAAAACCCTCAGGAGAGAACCCTGGGTATGTCAGCACATGGAGGGCTGAGCCCATCACGGCCACGGAGTAAGTCTGGATGAATCTCTCCAGCTCTGAACCCCTGCTGTGTCCCAGGTTCCCCTTCCTGTGTCTCAATGAGCCATGTTCCACGGGGTTCCTGGGTAACTCCCCACTTCCTCCTGCACCACCACGGGGAAGGTGTGGTGTCCACAGGACAATCAGATGGCCAGGGAAGAGAGGACACCAAAGATGGTCAGGAAGAGATGAGAAACCCATCCACCAGTCCCAAGGGAGCAATAGAGTGACTGAGAACTGTCCCTTTCACCGTGGGAGTCACAGCCCCCACTGAGCAACCAGCACATGCCTCTCCTCCCAAGAGGCATGAGAGATTCACCCTGCACACCTCCAGGAAGGACACTTTCCTCCGGGACACCCAGGTCACGAATGTCCAGCCTTGGAATTGCAGCCAAGTTAGACACAATTAGAGAAAGGAAGGGTCCCTGTCACCAGGCAACACACAGCTCACCCACAGCACAATGTGGTGTCCCTATAACAGGGACCTGATGCAGCTCCAGCCTCCTGCACTGAAGGGGACACCCAGCTGGGGATGAAAGAGGGTGAGGGGTGTGAATGTGCACCCCGACCCAGAGCCACTGGGACAGCAGGAGGCTGAGGTCCAGAACTGTGCTTGCCCAAACTACCGGGTATGTGTGTGACTCTCTGTGTCTGTGCGCGTGTCTTTTGTGTGTATGTTTGTGGTTTTGCACATAGTGTGTACCGAGGTTTGGTGACAAAATCACTGCTGAAAAAGGCAGAGGCCTCGACAATTCCCAGGGATCTGACACACAGACAAAAGGAAAAAGAGAAGGAGGGACAAAGAGGCAGGACTGAGAGGGGAGGGGATAGAGAGGTGACCTGGGCACAGACCCCGCCCATAAGCCTGAGAAGTGCTCCTGCCCCGGGAAGAGGCTCAGCACAGAAGGAGGAAGGACAGCACAGCTGACAGCTGTGCTCAGAAAGATTCTGGATCCCAGACTCATCTCCACAGAGGAGAACACACAGGCGGAAGAGGCCATGGGGCCCCTCTCAGCGCCTCCCTACACACTGCACATCACCTGGAAGGAGCTTCTACTCACAGGTGAGGAGAGAACTTCCTGGGAGAGGACAGGAGGAGGAAGTAGAATGATTGGATGGGGTCTCCTGGAGGGGATGGGGTTCTAAAAAATAAAATAAGCCAGCACTTTGGGGGGCTGAGGTGGATGGATCATGAGGTCAGGAATTGAAGACCAATCTGGTCAACACAGTGAAGTCCCGTCTCTACTGAAAACAGAAAAAATTAACCAGGTGTGGTGGTGAGCACCTGTAATCCTAGCTACTCAGGAGGCTGAGACAGGAGAATTGCATGAATCTGGGAGGCAGAGGTTGCAGTGAGCTGAGATGGCGCCACTGCAAGCCAGCCTGAGAGACAGTACGGGACTCCGTATCAAAAGGAAAAAAAAAAATGAAATAAAGGAAAGAAGGCTCTGTTGGAGCCTGGATTGGGGATAATATACCAGAGAGAGACAGGGTCACAACAGGAAAATCACATTGAACTTGAATTGGTAATAGGTAGGAAAATCTCAAGTGTTCTGTTCTCCTGGTTAAGCATCACTGGCCACAATATTTTGAAAAATGATAATAATAACTATTATCGGATGACACTTCAGATGAAAATATAAGCAGGACATGAAACACTGTCCTCAGCAAAAAACCTCAACAATTGGGGAAAGACAAAAAAAAATAGCCCTGGCTTGGAGGTCCCTGGGAACCTTCACATCTGCAGGAGTCTGCAGCCTGTCCCAGGCACTGGGGTGCAACGAAGATCACAAACGTCCCTGTCCTCACGGAGCTCATGCTGTCATGGGCAGGAAGACAGACATGCAAAGAGATCTAGAATGTGAGGTCAGGTGTTGACCAGAGCTCCGGAGGGAGCAGAGCACGAAAAGGTCAGAAATAGAAGACCCAGGGTCTCTGAAGGAGGTGTCACGAAAGAAGTCTAAGGATGCCCTGATGTGAGCAGGACCTGAGGGCAGAGTGGAGGGAGCCATGCAGACCCCTGGGGAAGAGGATTCCAAAGAGAAAAATGCCGAGGTCAGAAGGGTTGGATGAAAAGGGGTCGTGCTGCTGACCTTGACCCAGTAGGACAGTAGGACAAACACACACACCATACACACAAAAAGGGGTGTGTGTGTTTGTGTGTGTGTGTCTACAAGGCTGATGATTGAAGAAATCTTCTCAGGACCCAAGGCCCCATCTTTTCATCCCAATACATAGGTCTCAATATTGACTGATGCTCTCTCCACCTCCTAGCATCACTTTTAATCTTCTGGGACCCGCCCACCACTGCCCAAGTCACGATTGAAGCTCAGCCAACCAAAGTTTCTGAGGGGAAGGATGTTCTTCTACTTGTCCACAATTTGCCCACGAAAGTTGCTGGCTACATCTGGTACAAAGGGCAAATAATGGACCTCCAGCATTACATTACAGCATATACAATAGACACTGAAAAGATTATATTTGGGCCTGCATACAGTGGACGAGAAACAGTATATTCTAATGCATCCCTGCTGATCCAGAATGTCACCAAGAATGACACAGGATCCTACAGCATTCAAATCACAAACCCATGTGATGAGACTAAAGGAATAACTGGACATTTCACCTTATACGGTGAGTGATTCCACATGATCCCTGGGTGTTGGGGGGTGGGGGTCACTTCTACTTTGCACACACAGGATGGTCAGGCCTGGACTGTGCCTGTGTCCCTCTCTGCATTATGTCCCATGTTTGGGTTTCGGCATTTAGTGCAGGACACACACAGAGGAGACAAATCACAACAGATCAGAATTCCTTTCCTGCCTCCAGACCCTGTAGACACTTGCTGCACAGGAAGGACAGTCTGATTGGGGGGGGGGTGCTCAGCAGGAGATCAGTCTCAGCCAAGCACCTCATGCCCTCTTCAAAAACTTGGCCCTAAGAAAGACCCTGGAGAAGTGAGTAGGGCTTTGCCTAAGAGGCCCCTTGAGATACTCTCGGAGAAGCTCAGTCCTACAAACCTGAACCCCAGTCCGCTGTCCCTAAATCCTTACTCCAGATAAAGCTGAGGAGGCTGTGCCAGCCTGGGTTGTGGCAGGGCTTACTGAGACCAAGGATTCACCAGCTGTCTGAGGACTGTGTCTCCTGGAGCTGCTCACCAGCCAGGGCTCAGCCCTCAGAGCCTCATATAGGCAAGGACAGAGCTTTCTTCACCTGAGACTCAGAGTGGAGAGGACAGAAAGACAAGCTTTGCAGATCATCAGTCAACTGCCTTGTGTGGCTTAGGACACTTCATAGAAAGTCTAAAGTCCCCAGAAGCAGAAACAGAAGACAGAAAATGTACTTTGCAACAGCTTATCCACAGGGATCTGACCTAAAGATGCTCTCTCATGGAAGTGAATAATAATAAATGCTGTTTGTGTGAACACCTCCACTGTGCCAAGCTTTAGGTCACGTGACTGTGAAGAATTTAAAGTTTATTCACAGATAGCATGAAAAGCCACAGTCCATTTGCCATTTAGCTTATTTGACTGAGAGAAAACTGAGGCACAGGAAGGCACAGTCACTGAACCAGAGTCACACAAACACAAAAGGCAGATCAGGGTCACATGAGGTCTGTCTGCAGCCACAGGCTCATCCTCTCCTCCACCAGAAGTGAGGAATTACTGGGTTCCAAGGACCCCGTAGTCATTTATTGGCTCAAATCCTCTCATCTTCGGCATCCAAACCTCAGAGGAGTGAGAGCAAATGGTCAGCTGATTAGTCTGTACTCCGGAACTAAATCACCTGCCTCAACTGTCAGAGTCAGTGCAAAATATGTCCAGACCTCCCCTTCAGATCTTAACCCCCATCACTGAACCTGAAATCCTGTGTTTCCCAAAGTGTCCATGTCACTGGCATGACAGGATAAAGGATAGGAGCTTGTTTTCTTTCCCCACTCACACCCCGCACCAGCACAAGTCCAGTGAGAGACACACACTCAGGAGCTCTCACATAAGAAATGGAGGAATTGAATGAAGAAATGGATGATCCATAACCTCTTTAGAGACTGGATCTCAGATGCAGAATCCTAGGAGGTCTAGGCCACACCTTTCCCTTGTCCTTCAGAGGCTGACACCCATCTTTCATCCCCCCACTACCTCTTGCCCCTAAAGACACCCCACCTCATGTAAGTTGAAACCCTTTGACAACTGGAGGGTTTTCAGGGCTCCCTGGTCCTGGACTGTAGAAATGGGGCACCTGGTCCCTGGGGTCTCTGAAGTCACTGTAGGCCCCACAGTTCACTGCCATGCTGTCTCTGCCTCTCTCTGCTTCTCTGTGTCCCTCATCTTCCTCCCACTCATTCTAACTGGCAAACCCTGTCCTGCACAGCTTCTTCCTCCACCCCTAGGCCTTCCCCAGACACTCGCTCTAACTAGGCTGCCTTCTAATCCCTTCCTGCTAACACTGTGGAATGGTCCACCTCCCAGGCAATAGGAAAGGCATAGAAATGACCTGGAGTTTCCACTCCTGCCAGGCTTCATCTCGAGCCAAAGTCCCTAAGTCACTAAGAGAATAAGCTTCCACTGTATCCCCATCCAGGGCTCTTTCCTGTTGTGAGACTGATCTGTGCACAAGACCGTGAGACAGGGATAGGCAGCTCCTCCATCCATTCTTATAATTCCCAGACATGTTCTTCTGGCCTCCTGCACAAACAAAACCAATTTATCCAGATGGTGTTTTGCAGTAAAGAAATATTTTAATGACTCCAAGTCTGCCAAATAGGAGGACGGAGGTATATTATTACTCAAATCAGC